CATAAGGCCACCTACATGTTCCACCCATGAACTCACAGGGAGTAGAGTGTGTAGGGGATGTGTTATGTGTTACTGTAGAGGATCTAATGTGTGTGCTTACGGAATGTAGTGTATAGGGATACCAGTTTGTGTAGGTGATGCAGTGTTGTTTGTGTAAGGGATAGAAAGCAGTGAGTGTTTGTGTATAAGGGATGTATTGTGTGTTTCTTGTTGTGTGTTAGGGATGCATTGTGTGAATCTGTGTTTGTATGCATAAGGGATGCAAAGTGTGTTTCTGTGTATGTAAGGGATGCAGTGTGTGTGTCTGTAAGGGGTGTGTTGAGTGTGTGTAAGAGATGCATTGTGTTTCTGTGTGTGTGTGTAAGAAAACAGTGTGTGTTTGCATGTGTGTGTAAGGGATGCATTGTGTGTGTTCTGTGTATATGTGCAAAGGATGCATTGTCTTTATGTGTAAGGGTTGCATTGTGTGTTTCTCTGTGTGTAAGGGAAGCATGTTGTGTTTCTGTGTGTATAGGGATGCATTGTGTGTGTGTGTGTGTGCGCGCGTGGTGTGAAAGAGCTCCCTGTCCCCCTGTCCTATAGAGCTCTCCCTTCCATTCCTTAGAGATCTCCCCTGCCCCTTAGTGGTCTCTCCTCTCCCCCCCACCTCCCTTAGTGGTCTCCTTTTCTCCCCGACTTTCCATTAGTGGTCTCTCCTCTCCCCCCACCCTCCCCTAGTGGTCTATCCTCCACCCCCCTCCCTTAGCGGTCTCTCCACTGCCCCCTCCCTCCTTTAGTGGTCTCTCCCTCCCCTACTTTCTCATCTCCCACCCCTCGTGTTCTCCTCTTCTTCTCCCCCCGTGTTTTCCTCTTATTCCCCCCCTCCCTGTGTTCTCCGCTTCTTCTCCCCCCTGTAATTTTGTCTTCTTCTCCCCTCCCCCCATAATCTTCTCCCCTCCCCCCCCTGTAATCACTTCTTCTCCCCCGTAATCTTCTCTTCTTCTCCCCCTATAATCTTCTCTTCTTCTCCCCTTCCCATCAATCATCTCCCCCCTCCATCAATCATCTCCCCCCAATCAATCATCTCCCCTCCCATCAAATCATCTCCCCCATCATCTCCCCTCCATCTTCCCCCCCTCCCTCCCATCAAATCATCTCCCCCTCCCTCCCATCAAATCATCTCCCCCCATCATCATCATCTCCCCCCCCATCATCCTCCCCCCTCCATCTCCCCATCATCATCATCTCCCCATCGATCATCTCCTCCATCATCATCTCCCCTCCCTCAATCAATCACCCCCATCATCTCCCCACTCCATCTCCCCCATCATCTCCCCCCTCCCATCTCCCCCATCATCATCATCCCCCCTCCCATCTCCCCATCATCATCATCTCCCCCCCTCCACTCCCATCAAATCTCCCCCATCATCCTCATCCCCATCATCATCCATCTCCCCCCTCCCATCAATCATCTCCCCCATCATCTCCCCTCATCATCATCATCTCCCCTCCCTCCAATCAATCATCTCCCCCCCATCAACTCCCCCTCCCATCATCTCCCCCTCCCATCCTCCCCATCATCATCATCTCCCCCTCCATCCTCCCCCCCCATTATCATCTCCCCCCTCCCTCCCATCAATTATCTCCCCCCCTCCTCCAATCAATCATCTCCCCCACTCATCATCTCCCCCCTCCCATCTCCCCCATCCATCATCATCTCCCCTCCATCTCCCCATCATCATCTCACATCATCTCCCCTCCATCTCCCCCCCATCGTCATCATCTCCCCCCCTCCTCACGTGTCATCCCCCCTCCCAGCAGCTTCTCCTCACCTCCCCTGCACTTAGCGTGGCCGAGCTCCTATCTGGTCCGCGACCCGGCGGACTGACAGGAAGTGCACTCAGTGTGCACTTCCTGTCAGTCCCGCCGGGTCGCGGACCGGAAAGGAGCTCGGCCACGCTACAGTGCCGGGGAGGTGAGGCAGTGCAGCAGCCGCCTGAGCGCTCTCTCTATAGAGCGCTCAGGCGGCTGCAGAATTTAAAGGGCCGGCGATGGGGGCGCAGGGCGCCCCCTCCTATATGGCGCCCTAGGCGGCTGCCTAGTTCGCCTTATAGGAAGCGCCGGCCCTGACTGAAGCTTGGTAAAGTATGAGTACTCAGAGGTAAAGAAGACAGAGAAGAGCAGGACAGATGAGTGCTGGAACTTGAACCATGAATATAACAGCAATGTAGAATGGCTGAAACATTGTGCAAACAGACCAAGGCTGCAAAGGAAGGTTTTCATATGTAATATAAAAGACCAAAGAAAATCAATAGTATGGAAATGTTGAAACTAAAGGGGAAAGTTTAACTAGGCAATCTACAAGAACCTGAAAAAAATAAAAAATAAAACAAAAGATTATCATGATATCACTCAGTAATGGATATGAGGCAGAGTTAACCCTAACTTTGGAGACAGTCTGACATCAGGCTCATAGACTGGGATTTTCTTTAGAGTTATGGCAACTCGGTAGATGTAACTCTCGGTGGTTTCACCTATGTTTTCATCCTCATTTAATGCCGTTTTTTCTGCTATATTTTTCCTATATTTCACAACCTATCTTTGGATTTTTGAGAATTCCTCTATTTATTGAGCTCCTTGTTGGGCTGAGCAGCTAATGTATTGGCAGAATCTTGGGCTTCATTTTGATTTAGCTTAGGTACATAAGAGGGGTCTTAAGCATTTGTGGTAGGATCAATATATCCAAAGACTATGATATCAAGCAGATTTATAACTAATCCCCCTATTCTGCTGTTTTGTACAGCCAGTAACTACATTGAGCCAGTATGGATTGATTATAGATCTCATTCATGCGATTAAGCATAATTTGGATGGTTACTTAAGGATCTCACTCTCATTTGGTAAGAAGCTATTGTTCTTTACGTGCAGCAATATTTATTTTTTTCCAAAACCATTTTTATTGTGAATGCATGGTACACAAATATAACATGAGTGACATTATCATTTATGCTTTTAAGCTATTATTCGGTAAGGTACATTCACTATTTTGTGGTTTTCTTAACATGAACAAAACAGAAAAAACAAGCAAAACAAAACAAATAAGCGTTACCAAACCAACTAGGTCATTGTTAATTAGCAAGAGGTTGAGCTCAGACAGTTACCTTTGGATGTGGGGGTCTGGCAGGTTCAGTTATTGCCAGTTCTTCCGCGATACCACTTTCGCTGAGGGTGGTGAGGCTTGTGGGGGGGGGAGGCTGAGGGTGGTGAGGCTGGTGGGGGGGTGGGGAGGCTGGTGCAGGGAAGCTGAGGGTAGTGAGGGAGCCTACCTTCTCTTCCCTGGTGGTCCAGTGGCCACTTCTTCCGGTCTGCAGCTCCGCAAGACCATCAGAGCGTTGCCGTGGTAACCCGCGGCAACACTCTGATTGGCCAATTCTCGCGAGACACATGGTCTGTAGCTCTGCTCCCTGCGGAGCTGCAGACCTGTGTCTGCGATGGTGGCCGGGCAGCCAGGAGGGGCCTCGCACCCGGCGGCATAACGGGCAAGCCGCCGGGCCCCCTCCTGGTGTCAGGTCCTCGGTCACTGACCGAGGACCTGACACAGTCTGCCATAAGGCGGTTTAGGCGGCCGCGAGGCCCCAGCCAGCGCGAGGCCTTAGGCGGCCACCTAAACCGCCTAATTAGAGAGCCGCCTCTGTTTGCTTTTGTTTGCGGTACGTTAAGCGGGGAGTTTGGTCTGTCACTGTGAAGCGGGCGTAACCCTTACACTACCTGATCGATACAACATCATACCTGATGTTTTAAAGCATGTTATTCCAAACAATTTAGGAATGTTAGGTGATTTATGCCCTTTATGGATTAAAAACAGACTCTGCATCAACTATGTAATTTTCCATGGGAGTTTTGCCATGGATCCCCCTCCGGCATGCCACAGTCCAGGTGTTAGTCCCCTTGAAACAACTTTTCCATCACTATTGTGGCCAGACAGAGTCCCTGTTGGTTTTAAAATTTGACTGCCTATTGAAATCTATGGCGTTTCGCCCGGTTCGCCCCTTCGCGAATATTTGCGGAAGTTCGCATTCGCGAACCGAAAATTTTATGTTCACGACATCACTAGTTAGAAAATGTGTTATGAGATTGAATTCAGTCTAGCGCGTGTCTAAGCTGTGCTGCCAAACTGTATTCCCCGGCGTTAGGCAGGTTTAGACCACCATCAGCTCTGTGTTGGTTTAATTTGGTAAGGCTATGGCGCGCCTTGCGACCTGCCAGAGATATTGTCTAAGATGTTTGTTTAACAAACACTCGTCACTTTTCGAGAGGAGTACTGGGAGTATCTGGAGGGATACAACAGCTTAGGAAAACTGACCAGTTTGTATAGGTTGGCTCTTCCGATGTAAGATAAAGGCAACGTGTGCCAGTGTTCAAACTCTGCGAAGATGGCCGTTAGGATTGGCGGAATATTTAATTTATATACGAGGGAGAGATCTCTAGGGACCTTAATGCCAAGATATTTAAGCGCCCTTGATTGCCACCGCAGAGGGAGTCCTCGAGGGAGTGGTGGCGGAGGGTGTCCACATGATTTGGCCCAATTGACCTTTAGGCCTGCCATGTGGCGAAATGTTTCCAGCAAGTCAGTAAGGGGCGACAGGGAGCGCCTTGGGTCAGTGATAAAGAGTAACAGGTCGTCAGCAAATGCTGTGACTTTAAATCTAACATCACCCATCGGTATGCCCCTACATCCTTGTAGCTTCTCAATAGCTCTCAGTAACGGGTCGATGGCAAGATTAAACAACAGGGGCGAGAGCAAGCAGCCCTGGTGCACTCCACTCCCCAGGGCAAAGTATGGCGAGTCCACACCATTTGTGGTAATACAGGTGGTGGGGTGATGGTGTAAATTTTGGATAAAATGGACAAATGTGTGGCCGAAGTATCTCAACTTTAACACCCTGATCAGGTGTGGCCAGGATATGCTAATAAGTGATGGGGAGTATGAGTCTATTTCCCCACGTGTGGCATGAGCCACGGCCGCAAGACCTCTGCAGTCCCCCGTCACTCTCTGCCTGCCCCTTACAAAGCCCAGCTTGTGAGAGTTGAGTGTCAGTGGTGCAAACAATTGTATTCTCAGAGCAATGATTTTGGTAAGGAGTTTGACGTCTTGATTAAGTAGTGATATTGGGCGATAGGAAGCTAAATTCTCAGCATCCCTGTCGGGTTTGGGTATCAGAATTATTTGTGCTTGATTAAGGTCATCTATGGGCAAGCCTTCTAAATATATTTTATTGAATAAGTTTTTGAGAGTGGGACTAAGCTGTTGTTTCAGAGATTTATAGTATTCTGAGGTAAAGCCATCGGGGCCTGGTGCCTTCCCTGTCTTGAGGGTCTTTATTGCTATGTGAATTTCATTCTCTGTGATATTTTTACTGAGGAGTTCCTGGACTCCTCACTTAGCTGGGGAAGGTCAAGGCTCTTGAGGAAAACCATGCTATGTCTATGGTCATCCGGCAGTGCTCCAGTTATTGTTTTGTAGTAATCATAAAATCGCTTGTTGATGGCCATATGGGAGGTGCTCCTAGTCCCGTCTGGGGAGGTGATTGCTATAATAAGCTTGAATTTGGACTTAGGGTTGACCATTCGGGCCAACAATCTCCCAGACCTTCCACCCCATCGAAAGAAGTGTTGTGTTTGGAAGTCTATCTTTGATTGTGTGTGGTTTGCTATAAAGGTGTTGAGGGTGTGCTGGGCGTCTTGGTATGACTGCTTGTGTTTATCAGAAGGGTTGGCCAAGTAGTAGCTGTAAGCTCATTTGAGCTCCTGGTCGAGTGAAGTGAAGTCCCTCCTCCATTGTTTTTTAACTGATGCCATGTATGACAGTATCTGTCCCCTCATCACTGCCTTGGACGTCTCCCACAGCAATTTAGGGTCGTCCACATGTTCCAGATTATCATCTACAAAGTTTGCCCAACTAGTCTGTAGGTGGCACAGGAAAGATAGGTTTTTAGTAAGGTACGCTGGGAAGCACCAATGTGCGGTGATGTGGTATGAGGGCTGTGTGGAGAGATGTAGTGTGACAGGTGCGTGATCAGAGATGTTGATTGTCTCTATAGTGGAGCAGCTGACATGGGGTAACCAGGAACATATCAATTCGAGAGAAGGAGTCGTGGACTGGAGAGTGGAATGTGTAGTCTCTCTCACTACCATGGAGTATCCTCCAGGGGTCATGCAAGTTAAAGGAAGTTGTGAACTGAAGGAGTCTGCGATCGCCGTCCATGGGAAGCAAAGGTCCTGCTGAGGACCTGTCCCTGGATGGGTCAAGGACAGCATTAAAGTCTCCCCCCATTATAAGCTGATCAACCTTTATCTGAGTGAGCAACGTGAGGAGCTTAGTAAAAAAGGGAGTGGTAGAGGAGTTTGGGGCATAAACATTGTCTATGCAATAACACTTGTTGTTATTGGTAATACATAAGATAATGTAGCATCCCTCAGGATCAATATCACAGCTGTGGATCACATGTTGCAGGCTGGAGTGTAGGAGGATCGCCACACCTCCAGCCTTAGAGTTGTATTTGGCTGCTATGCAAGACTGAATCCACGGAGCCTTGAGTTGAGTGTTGTCAGCACGGGACCAGTGTGTTTCTAGTAGGACAATTTGAGACTGATGTTTGGAAAGGTATGTTAAGATTTTTTTTCTCCTGATAGGCGTATTCGCTCCCCTCACATTCCAAGAGAGAAGCTTAAGGATAATGGCTGAAGTGTTTGTGGTAGCATAAGAGGTCGACATTTAAGCCAATACCCCGTTGTGGGAAGCGGCAAAACATAGCTAGATGCTTGGGGTTTGGATTCTGTTCGTCCCAGTCCGAGCGAACAGACAAGTCCCAGGGTGGGAGTGTGCGGTGAGTGCTGCAATACCGGCCAGACAAGGGCTTATTAGCCCAAACTATGTACAACAGGGGAATCCAAGTGTGGGTAACAATGCCCTCACTGTGGTCCGCGGACAGATGCAGAGCTGGCAGAAGGCTCTGGAGAGGCTCTGTCCCAATCCGGCAGGGCATCTCATAGAAATTCTGAGGCTTCAGTCACTGATGTTTTGTTAAGTTTTCTGTCACCCACTTGGAGACGTAGTGTTGCAGGGTAGTGTATGCCCTTCTTATGCAGGGCTGAGCAGATGGGCGTGAATGCCTTGCGTCGTTGAGTAACCTGTGCGGAATAATCTTTGAAAATCAGGATTCTGTATTCCTTGATATGTAGGTGGATCTAGGTTTTTGTAAGCTGTGAGAATCCGTGTCGTATCATGGAAATTTCAGAATTTAGCTATGATAGGCCTTGGTCGTGCTCTATTGCCTAAGTTTTCTGGGCCCAGTCTGTGAGCACGTTCAATGATGGGAAGAGCGTCAGCAGTGCTTGCAAGTTGCAAGGTGTCCGAAAGCCAGGATTGGAGGGTGGGAATGATATTTCCGGACTTCACGGAGATTGTTCCATCCGCTGCGATTTTCTAGGTCATCCAACTTGTCTTGTAGAGAGGTCAGAGTATTATGCTGTTGACAAATCGTTGTTTGGAGCTGGTGCACCTTGTCCTCCGTGGCACCCTGTCTTGTTTCGAGCAAGGCGAGTTGAGAAGAGTGTGCTTGGAGAAGATGGACTGCACCATCTATTGATTCTTTAATGTCCTTAAATTGTGATTCAAATATTGGTTTAAGGAGGTTGGATACCTCCTGGGCTATTTCTGAGACTTGTTGTGAAATTTGGTTAGTAGTGGGGCTCATCTGATTATGTCTCGTCCGCGTCCAAACCGGTCGGTGAGCGATAAGGAGTAGAGATGTATCTTTTTGGTTGGTCTTTGAGATTCTCCTTGCGGTCTCTTGGATGGAGTTTTGTCAATGAACTTATCCATGGTGGTGGAGTATGGATAGGGAGGGAGAAAGCAAGGTAGTGGGAGGGAGGGACTTGTCGTTAAGAGCAAATGTGATCTTTGGGAAGCTAACGTTAGTGAGTAGAGAAAAAAAAGAGACGGTGTCAAGCCTACCGTGTTGTGGTGTTGTCAATGGTAGAGGACTATGTAATAAGTATAAAAGAGAGAGCGAGATAGGGGAAGAGAGAGAGTGGGAGGGAAAAAAGGGGGAGGGAGGGGTGAATTAGAGTTATAGAGTGGAGGGGGTTTGACCACCTTCTGTTATTTAAGACCCGATTGGCACCTGTTTGTCTGTGGCTGTGAGGTGTGCTACTCCTGGTAGTCATGCGTGTGTGCAGGAATCTGTGGGCTCCTATCAGTGTGCCCAGTGTGTCGTGTTGTCAAGGTGTATTGCAGCAGGTCAAGTGTCGGTTGGTATGTGCCTTTAATGAATCCACTGTCTCCTGCTGTGTGTGCGCCTTTGGATACATAAGGAGGGCTTGACAGTCTGTCAATCTAGTGGACAATATCCACTGAGTCCATTATAATGTTTATGTGTGGGATCTACCTTCCGCATGTAAGCTCATGCGTTGGAACCACAGCTTCATAGAGGGGTGTCTCTGTCTTCCAAAGAAGGGGGATGAGGCTTTTAGCCACGTTGAGGATTTGTATAGTCAGGGATTTTTTGTAAACCAAGGACCACAGCTTTGTGTGGTGAAGGAGGAGCGATAGTGGTGTTAGAGGGGGGGCTCCTCTGTGAACCTTTGGATGATCGTGTGTATCATCCCCCAGTAAGGTCTGATAAATGGGCAGTCCCACCAGATGTGCAGTAGGGTGCCTGTTTCCCTTTTACATCTCCAACAGATATCGTCAAGGGTAGGGTCATATGTGTGTAGTAGTTGGGGTGTCTTGTACCAAAAAGTCAGTAGTTTGAGGGCTGTCTTTTGTATCCCACTAGAAATGGCACAGTGTAAGGTCAGAGTACAGATCTTTGTCCACTGTTTGGGTGTGAGTGTATGGTTCAGCGCTGTTTCTCATTTCCCCATGAAGCTCGGGAGGGGTGATCGTTTCAGCGTAAGAAGCTGGCATATCTATTCGAAATTGGTGAGGTCTCTCGACCAGTTAAAATCTCCCCAGCCTCCATTACCAGCTTTCCCTGGGTGCCCCTGGTTCGGCACTTTCCCTTCATTTGAATGGAACCGAACACTAGCTTCCCTGGTGGCTGTTCGCATTAAGAAACCCACAAATTGTCCTCAGCGGTACCTAGCCGCAAATGTTATGGAACTGTTTTCGGCATGAGGTGGCCACTCGGCTCCTGGACAACTTGGTCAGTGGTTTTGAACGACTTTGAAATCCGCCAGGAGAGCGCTTTTAGAGGGAAGGTGTCTGAGACTAAGGGGAACAAACGCTACCTAGGAGGCAGCCAGAGCACCCCGTATTGCGGCCACAGGAGCTCCCGAAAGTTGTCCGGCAAAAGCACCAAACGCCCTGGACCATGTGTCTAGCCGGTCAGTACTTCCACACGGTGGCGTTTCCCATACACTGCATGGATCTGAGCACTATTTGGAGAACTTGGGCTCTCAGATCAGTGCTATTTAGCAATATATAATTTGTGGAAGTGTTCTGGGCATGTTTTACTGCATCCTTGTTTGGTATAAAAGTGGTCGATTTGGCCATGATTAAACACATTAGTTTTTGCCCCTCATCAAGTCTAGGCTGATGTTTGGATAATTGGGAGCTATACTCGCTGCTTCACTTGGGATTTTGGAGAACTACAGCAGATATACCTCAGTCGGAGTATAGGGGATGCATTACAGCTAGTACGCCACTGTTTTTTGTCGGGTTGAGGGTGCCGTGTCATATGCGCACCTTGGAGGACACAAATTGGAGGACCAGAGAGCATAGAGAGGTGAAAAATGCCTCTGGTATGAGGATGGGCAAAATTTGGAAAAAGTAGAGGATACGCGGAAGGATGTTCATTTTCACGACCCCAACTTTCCCATAACCAGGAAAGGTGTGGTACCATCCATTCTTCCAGGTCCTTTCGGACCTGAGATGTGCAGCAATCTTTTAACAAGTAGGCTAAAAATCAATCTTGCCATCTCTTATCTCATTAAAAGGATTAGGAGTCTTGTTACTTGGTACAAGAAGTTGAAGTTAGTTAATTGTGAGTTGATAAGGGCAGATGATGTTCATTTAAATTTGAGAGGTTTGGCTATTTTCAACTTGGGTTCAAATTAAGCTGGCTTTGGGAGTTGGAGTGGTGGGAGTGCGATGGTATCCACATGTACCAGCTGCCATCATTGTGATGGCAGGGCTCCTTGTCAGTTCAAATAAATAAAGAGAAGATGGAGCTATGCCTAACATAAGCTTGGGGAGTCACAGTCTGAAGGTAGGCTGATGGCGTAATGCAGACTACTGCAGCCTCTTGGATTGTAAGGATTAAAAACTGCTTGTCGGTGCTAACCAGGCAGCTGGTAGCTTGTATAGGTTATTGCTGTTGACTGGCAAGTTACGAATTTCATTAAAGGCTCTGGCCGATGCCATGTCTAACACCTATGATGTTATCAATTTTGTTATTTGGGTTGGGAGGAATTATCTAAGTTTTCTTATAAGTCAGCAGTTAAATCTATCTAAGCAAGAAGATTCTAATGCACTGACTGACAATTCACACCCAATAGTCTCAATAATCTACCAAGCAGATCTGCAGACACAGACCGGCAGATGCCAGGACATCTACCCACAAAAATTCTTGATTATAGCTTTTCCTCTGACTATACAAAACGAAAAAGCCCACTTGAACCATAATATGTACCAATACTTACCATCTATACCTGCACTACAACACAGGTCCTTTCTCATCTAAAAAATCTTTTTCTTATCTGGAGCTAACCATTTCTTACTTATATACTGTGCAGAAATCTGCCCCATTCATTAGAGGGCTCCTGAAAAGTATCTAAAAATTATATTATGTGCAAATACAAAGATGTGTGTGCAGACTTTGCATTCCCCAAATCATCTAAATTATCTATCTCTCTATCTATCTATCTATCTATCTATCTATTCTTTTTTTTTTTTTTGTCTTCTGAAAAATCATTAATAGACATTATTGTAGTTTTCTAACTTTACACGAACACTATGGATTTTATGAATCATGTCTTCATGGGATGGATGGTGCACTTTAAAAAAAAAAAAGAATCATAAATGCTAGTTTAGGGTCTTAAAAATCAGGAGGCAATCTGCACCCAAACAGAGGAAATATTACCATCAATATTAATTTAATATTTATTAAATGTGTTGACCTGCCGTATTATACTTGTATATAGTAATATTCATTTAAAATGTTGTCCTTTCACAGTAAAATATAAAATACTGCCTATTGGCTTTCTTTAGCTATATAATACGGTTCCTCTCTATAATTTTCCAACATTTCTGTCAACAACTGTCAGTTCTGCTCTGTGATTCTGAAGACACGTTCTTAATGTCACCTATTTTGTTCAAATAATATGTTTTTCTAAAAAGCTTTTCTGCTCTAAAATATGTATCTTACCATGCCACCTGCAACCCCCTCTTCCCACAAGATGCATATTTCAATACGATAGTTGTTTCTTACTAACTTATATTTGTCCGTAATTGTCTACCTGCATGAATGCAGAATCTCGTATGAAGCAGTAAATAGAAAATGGGAAGAGAGAACACACAGCTTCATGCCAAGGTCAGTGCATTGTGAATCCGTGAGTAATGTGAGCAGAGAAAATAAGATGTATTGAGGCATAATGAATGCCTATCATGTCCCTGTTCATTTTTATGTAACTGCAATGTGCCATCTTCGTTTATTGTTGTATATTTAGTATATTGTGTTGAGGTAGATAGGGTATGCCATGTAAATATGCATGTTAGAAAAAGTATCACCAAAAATACAAATATTTGATGTATTCCTGACAAAGAAGTTTTATTGTATAGACACAGGCAAACTCTACTATGATAGAAACTATAACTTTTGTAATATTTTGAAATATATAAGTAGTATTTTTTAATTTATAAAGCTCAAACATGTACCTTACATGCTTTCAGTAAGGTAATGCTACCCATTAATTACACGCTCATTAACGATAAACAGCTCTGGCAATGGTTAATTATCTAACAGTTATCAATTATCTAACATTTAGCACTAGCTCATACGTCAAGAATTGATAAAATCTAAAAATGATCAAATTCTAATAGTAATTTTTTTTGTTAACAAATGTGATATAATTAATAAAGAGGCACAATAGGCCAGGGCTCAAAATTTGTTTTGCCCTGACAAGGCCTTAAACTTACTTGCCACCACAAGCGTGTGCAACAACCATTATTTCATTCCATTTTGGTCCGCAGCATTGCGTTGCATTGTGTTTCTTAATGCAGTTGTATGTGCTGTGCTAATGTGGTGTGTGAATGCAAAGCTGTGAAGGACCAATACATATATGATTGAGGTGTCATGACTTGGTTTACTCTCAATCTGTAGCAGTACCTCACAGTGCCACTACCTATCTTTGGTGCTATTGCAGGCTGCTGCACCCAGACTGAGATCTCTCTCTGTTCCCAGCTGGTCTTACTTTGTAACTCCCTATTTAATGTAGCCTCACCCCTTCTTGTTTGCTATTTCATTAATGTTAATAATGTTGTTGGTCTGGTACTTTTGTCCTGTATATCTGAGCTAGCTGCTTCTCTGTGCTCCTGAGCTAGCTGCCTTTACTGAGTTCCTGAGCTAGCTGCCTTTACTGAGTTCCTGAGCTAGCTGCCTTTACTGAGTTCCTGAGCTAGCTGCCTTTACTGAGTTCCTGAGCTAGCTGCCTACTTTTCTGAGTTCCTGAGCTAGCTGCCTTTACTGAGTTCCTGAGCTAGCTGCCTTTACTGAGTTCCTGTGCTAGCTGCCTTTGAGTTCCTGAGCTAGCTGCCTTTTGTTCCTGATGAGCTAGCTGCCTTTACTGAGTTCCTGAGCTAGCTGCCTTTACTGAGTTCCTGAGCTAGCTGCCTTTACTGAGTTCCTGAGCTAGCTGCCTTTACTGAGTTCCTGAGCTAGCTGCCTTTACTGAGTTCCTGTGCTAGCTGCCTACTTTTCCGAGTTCCTGAGCTGGCAGCTTCCCCATGTTCCTTAGCTGGCAGCTCCCCCATGTTCCTTAGCTGGCTGCTTCCTCATGGTTTTTTAGCTGGCTGCTTCCCTGTGTTCCTGAGCTGGCTGCTTCCCTGTAGCCAGAGGCCATTTTCTTACATTCAGTTACCTGTGCTTGTATTTGATTTTACTGTCTTTCTTGTAAATATCAGTACACTTATTTTGTTGTTTTGATTTGTGTGTATGTTTCTTTGCATTCTGGGTTCCACCCTATAGAGGTCGCTGCACTGGTCAGCATTCGTTCCCGACAAGACTCCTGACATAGGGTATATGTGTGTCCAGGACAAATGTGCCTAGGGGCCTTGAAACTATGAATTTGCTTGGCTCTATTCACAATCCCTATGTGAAGAATGAAGGCGCAAGGGGTGTAAAACTGGTAACCTGCCTAGGGGATCTTAAACGTTCTCGGTCTACATGGAGCTGAGCTGTTGGGGAAAATTAAAACATTGGTAACTGAAAAAAAAGATTCCACTTAGTATAGGTGTAGCCCAATTATTTTGTACTGCAAAGAAAAGCAAAATCAAATTTAGCCTAGAAAGTACAAAACTTACGTTTTGTTTTAAAAATTATTTTTATAAAAGCAAATTTTTCTTTCAGGGTTCAGGCAACTTCTTTACATCTCTGCACATAGACTGTAAATGGCAGTGCATCTATCCTTCTACAATAGTTACTTTTGTAGGTTAAACTTCATGATCAGATTCTAACAGCCCAGGAAGGCATAGAAGCAAGTGTTTGGAGGAATTATTTGCATACTCTTTCTCATGCAATGCCCTCTTTAGTATAGATGCTTAGTGTGTATTTACTGTATGTTGTCATAATGCAACATATACATCTTTTTTAATACTCGGTCAGAATTTTATAGAAATCTGAATTTCCAAGAAAGTCAAGAAGTTCCTAATATATTACTTTTCCCATACAGCAGTGGTTAAAAAGTAGATTATTTATGGATCTTTGCTAATACATATCTTACATTTTGTATATATCCAAACAGCAATCAATATATGAAACTGAAATTTAATCTTACGTTTTATACATTCCAATAAATATTATTTTACTAAACAAACAGTGGTGAAGAGGTCAATTTAATGTATTGACCTCGGGAGTGTGTTTACCGTGAGGCAAACAAGGCATTTGCCTTGTGCGGCACTTTCTGGGGGGGGCGCCAAAAAATTCTGTTAGCGTGTGTGTCTGTTAGTGAGTGTGTGTGTGTGTGTATCTGTTAGTGAGTGTGTCTCTGTGTGTGTCTGTTAGGGAGTGTGTTAGTGTATGTTAAAGAGTGTGTATGCATGTCTGCTAGTGAGAGTGTATGTGTGTCTGGCTCTGTTAGTGAGTGTGTTAGTATGTGTGTCTGTTAGTGAGTGTGTATGCATGTCTGTTAGTGAGAGTGTATGCGTGTCTGTTAGTGACTGTATGTGTCTGTTAGTGAGTGTGTATGTCTGTTAGTGAGTGTGTATGTCTGTTAGCTAGTGTATATGTGTCTGTCAGTAAGTGTGTATGTGTATTTAGAAGGTGGGGTGTGGGGTGCCTGAGTTTTGTCATGCCTAGGGCAGCACAAAACCAGGAAACACCACTGATTGACCCCCTTACCTTTTGTCAGATATGAAAACATATTATAATAATTTTGACATCAAAAATCCAATATGAAATGCAAATATTTTATGTAAGTGAGATCGTATCTACATGCTCTGTACAAGTCAATATTAGCCATTGAGACCACTTTATCTTTCTGTTCAACGTTACCATTGATTTCCTGTAAGCAGACCTTACGTTTTTGTGACTGTAGAGATTTCAGTGTTACAAACACTAATGAAGCATAGAGGTCATAACAAGACAGCAATAGATGACATGAAGCATTTAATCACAATATGTATAATATAGATATATAAATAAATATTACATTCTTTCAGTCTACAATGCATTTTATTTATTACACGTTATCATTCTCATTTATGTGAAATGTCACCGGACTCTGACTCCCACACTTTTGGAGGAAGAAATAATAGATTGTAAAACTGGGGCTGCCACAAAAAATCCAATAGAATTCATTTTCTAAACATTGAAATAAAAAAAATAAAAAAACTCTCATACTGCTTTGTAGTTTGTTTAGTGTGTAAATCCTGTGAAAGAGTTGACGATAATGGGAAATGTGTTAAATTCATATAATGTATGCAGATTTTCACCAGTTTTTGCGCTATTGTAGAGTTTTAGATCATGTCTTGCAACTGTACTGCAATATTTAATTTATTTTAACAAAACTTGTATTTTGTCATTTATGTTTTTGTGTTTTTTTTCTTTCTTTTTTTCTTTTTTTCTTTTTTTCCTCTCTTTGTTTAAGGAACCTAAAGCCAGTTAAGTGGCCACAGGCTATTCCTTCTACTGCATTTAAACATAATGGAAGAGGCATTTAATTAGTAGATGTGTGAACAGATGTCCACACTATTGTGGTGCCTGACTTATGAGTGCTGATTTCTAAATAACATTGGAAAGAACAATGATTTGCCACATAATTAATAACATGTTTTCATTAACTTAGATATTCTCAAGATATTCATTTTCCCTGCATTAGAGAGAGCTGCAACAAGAATACAGACAGACATTAACTTACTGTACCTTGAAAGAACCATTATCTGTGTCAAAGACGTTAAATGTAAACTACGATATGGCAGTAAATTTAACAATAAAGTGGAATATTATTATAATTATTATTATTGGTATTTATATAGTGCCAGCTTATTCCGCAGTGCTTTACAATAAAAGGGGAATTTACCAAATGAGACAATAACAAAGTGTAACAGGAACAATAAGTAGTTGACGACCCTGCTCAAACGAGCTTACAGTCTAGAGGGGGTGGGGTATAAAAACACAAAAGGAAGGGTAGTGAGGGAGACAGAAAATAGATATGGTGGAAAAGTAGCAGAACTGGAGGTGAGAGTGGAGTGTGGCACTTTAGCAGAGAACAAGAATGATTAAGAGATAGAAGTTACTCTGGGAGGCCATAAACATTCCTAAAAAGACGAGTTTAGAGAGACTTCTTAAAGGATTGAAGACTAGGGGAGAGTCTGAATATGTTGTAGTGTAATTTTTTAAAAAATATTGTAATTTATTTATGACTAAACTTTCCATAAATCTCAGTCCCTCTGTAATCCATATATAGTAAAATATATAAGTACTTCTTTAAATCCACCAGAGATGAGTGAAAAAAAAACTTCACTGGGAGTCTAAAGATAGTCTTTTCAGAATCATGCCGAGTTACATCCTTTATGTTCATACATTCCACCATATGAATCAATGAAGTCCCATCAAAAATTGAGTTCTGTACATATAAGACATGTTTTCTTCATCGCAATGGATACCGTGCCCAGTTCTGTAGGCTCCTGCATTAGGCTTAACAAACTGAAATCAAATAGTCATCAGATACAGAGAGAGCCTATCCTTCCCTGTAGAGGTTGTCGACCCTGACTAATAAATCAGCATAGATGAGAAATGGAGAACGGTAAATCTGGAAGATACATGAAATCAAAAAGATACTGTGAAACATTCACATATGATATATTTAGATAATTTGCTCTGTGCTAGTGTTTCTTTCTCTCTTTCAACAAAAACACTGTAGTCTGTAGATTTTATAAAATCATACTGATTGGAATCCACATCTAAGAGCATTTTACCTGCAAGAACAATGCAGCGTCATAGCTCCCAGATCATTAGTACCCTATTCTCATTAATATTAATTTTTGTTGACCTTTGTTAATTAAATAAATATGTGCACATATTAAATAAAATGCCAGATTAGCAACACCTTATACATGGCTTGTAATTGCAATAGAGTTGAGCATTATACTTGCTCAGGAGTCAGTGGTCTGTAGTGGATTTTCTCATCCCCTGCTATACCAGAATTTTCCTGTAGAGGGCTTTCTAAATATAGGCACCTTGATGGAAAAGTAAGCTTACTTTAGTACACAGTTGTGCACTCAATTTATAATACAAAAATAATTACAAATTATTATCTTACTTTTCTTTCCATGCATTTTTAATAGGGAAGACTGTGATAGACACATGTGTACTATGGTATATGCATGAACTATAAGGTATAAGCATTAATGATACCTTAAAATACTTAACACAACTTTAGTGTTTCTTCTGTCTCTGGCTTTGGCACATCACTAGGGGAATGATATATAGAATTATCTTGAAATTGTGAAAAATATTTTTTTTCCAGTCCTTTAACTGCATTTTATTAGAAATATAAAATCTTATTTTTCAACTAGTTTTCTATTTTTTCCTTTTTTATTATAATTATTAATTGGTTTTTTTTAACAAATATTTTTGGTAACTCCTTTACATAAATTCCACACGCCTTATTAATTAATCTAAACATATGCCTGATGACTCGATCTGAGTTTTTTTTTAAATCCATCTAATTTTCTTAGCTGGAAACTGTTACTGGACCATAACCTACATTTAATATGGCATATGTGCATTTCTTAAAACATATACATTGAAGAATCTCAATAGTTTCAAGTTGAGTGTCACAGAGGTTCTTATATATTTAGCCATGACCAATAAAAACTGAAGGCATCAAAAGTTGAGGTTAACTTATTGCAACAACCAAATAAGTTATGTTTATTCTTTGTACTGTTGCATATAGTTTCTGAGTTCCTTTGATTCTCCCAAGTCCATATCCTGACACACCCATTTAATGTCATCCTCATTAGCTGTCAATAATGAGTTCACAGTTGGGCAACTGTCATCAGCTGGAATAGTTGTAAAGGTTGTGAATTTTACTCTCTTCCTTTTTGATGTTGGTGAATGTAAAGGTTCATTTTTTTTCTCTTTCAAAGCTTTCTCCATGTCCTCAGCTGACCGATGTATCTGGCTCTGCACATTCTTACCATTGATGAGGTGATGACTCTCTTCAAGATTTATTCCTCTGTCTATAATAGTAGTATGTTCATCTTGTTGAGGAGATACTTCTGGTGTACTCTCTAGAAGTTCTGTCTCATTGCCAAGCCAAACCCAGTCATGGGAGTGTGTCATGTTAGTTTGCCCTTCTATTGGTATTTGTTTGTGTCTATATTTAAGGGCAAATGTTGCACAGTTAATTAGGAAAACTAATATGGCAAGGCAGAATACACCAAGCAAAGCATACATTCCAATCTCAAGATCACTCAATCCTCTTGGTGCATGAACAAGGTCATTATCTTCCATTTCCCCGTTATTTTTTGGTAAGTCTACTTGGGCGGGGAAATTGGTAAAATCTATGGGAATGTTCTGCAGTGGACTATCATCAGAAAG